ATATGAGGCTGGAGGGTTAAGTAGGGGCTAGAATATGTAGGGCTTTGTAGGTCACTTTCTTCTATCATGGAACCTTTGAAGGTTACAATAACACTGGGATGTGTTTAATTACAGCAGAGGGGTTTGAAAATTTTAAAAGTTAGTAAACTACTCATAGCTAAAACAGAATCTAGTGTAGGGATTTTATTAGGAATCAGTTGCAGTGTCAGGCTGTGACCAGTGGAAGCTGACCCACACCTTTACCCCCACAGGCATTAAAGCCGTGTAGCACTCAGCTGCTGTGGCGCACACTCTCATGGTTGGACAGAATGCCTAGCTATGATCCTCCATGAAAACCACCCTGAAAGGCTGAAAGAAATGGCAGTGTAAATAAATTCTGTGTAATCTGTTAACTAGTTGCTGTTGAGCCAGTTCCAACTCATTGCTATTCCATGTATGCCAGAGTAGAACTGAGCTCTATGCAGTTTTCAGTGGATGATTTTTTGGAAGCAGATCACCAGGACTTTCTTTCAAGCACCTCTTGGTGGACTTGAACCTCCAACCTTTTGGTTAGCAGCTGCGTGTGTAAACTCTTTGCATCACCCAGGTGTAATCTATACCTTAGTCCCTATTCTTAGGTCAAAACGTTAATTATTATCACATTATTATTTTAGTCTTAACTTTGAAAAGCCACCAGAACAGACTTCTTTCTGACCTTTAGTGTGCTGACCTCCCTTGGCTCCCTCAGAGGTGGGAGCCGACAATGCATCGATTCATTGTTAAGTTCCATGGAAGCTGGAGTGCAGAATCAAAGGTTACATCTTTTGACACATGTAGGAAGGACTCCAGCGTGAAGCAACTCTGTGATCTCCCTGGGACTCAGCATGTCAGAGCTGAGAGAAGGAACTAGCAGAGGCCACTTGACAGCTGAGAGCACATGGGACAACAATGGGAACGCTCCAGAATAATAGGAGGTTTGAAGGGGGCTAGAGCTACTCCCCAGGGGCAAGAGCAGAGCCAAAGGTGCAGTTTGTGATGCCGGTTGTATTTCCAGGCTGCTGTGGCCTGGGAGGCTGGGGTTATGTTTAGATGTATCATCACAGAGGCAGTTGGTGTTTGACACTAAGACTTTGTACCAGGCTAGTCTCTCTCTTTACCCCTAATGGTCAGAAGGCAGGAGAGGCTGAGAAAGACATTTGCCTCATCATAGACAGGTTGATCCAAGCAGGAAATCCCAAAAGGATTCCTGACTGTTGTTCCAAAAGACACAAATTCCACAGTGTAGAATTCCCATGTCATGTTCACAGGGAGCCCTCAGCATAGTGCTAGGCTGTGTAAGTATTTTGACATGCTTATCTCTATGTTGTCAAGCACTCTTAAATTGCCCTGCTAATATTATTATACTAAAGAGCAGTTAAAAGTTGAGCAAAGTGCCAAAAAGGAAAAATAAATAACAGTAGAATTTTTGGTTGTTGGCCACAGAAACCAACTTTTTATTGAAGTATAACATACCCACAGAAAAGTACACAAATCTTAAGTGTACAGCTCAAAGAATTTTCACAAACTGAATATACGCAGGTAGCCAGCAACAAGATCAAGAAACAGAATATCCCAGAAGCTCCCTTGGTGTCTGTTTCTGGTTACCATCTCCTCAAGAGAAATTACTATCCCTACTTTGAACAGCATAGAGTAGTTATACTGATCTCACACTTTCTATAAATGGAATTGTGTAGTACATATACTGCCTTATCACATTCAACATTAGGTTTGTGAGATTCATCCGTGTTATGGTGTGTATTTGTGGGTCACTCATTCTCATTCATTGTTGTGTAGGATTCCGTTGTGTGAACATATCATAATTTATTTATCCATTCAACATAGGCATTTGGGTGCTTTCCAGCTCGTGGTTATGATGAAGCATGTGTGTATGAACATTCTAGTACATGTCTTCTGGTGAATGTATGTGCATAATTCTGTTGGGTATACACCTAGGAATGGAGCTGTTAGGTCACAGAACACATACATCCAACTCAAGCTATTTCATGGAAGAATAAGCAATTTATTGGAGTTTGGAGGATCAAATAATTGACAGGAAGCTAGAAGGGAGATCTAGGAAGATGGATGGGAGCTGAGGCAGCTCTGTGGGGCCAAGGAGAGGAACAGAAATGGTCCGTCCAGTACTCTGCCATCCCTGAACATTATCACCAGTGCAACCACCCTCCCTGTAGATTCCCAGCCCTGGACACCACTGCAGTAACCATGAAATGAGTCTCACATACCTTTATTTCTGTGTTCCTTGGTCCTGGTTCACAGTTACAAGTGGAGAGTCCAAATAACCCCTACTGGATCATTGGCCACTTCCACTGGTACAGTGCAGGCAGGGGGTACACCTAAGAGAGAGAGATGATCTCCCTCCAGAGCTTCCCCAGGGGAGGTGGCACTGTACTCCACCAAATAGACATAAAGAATCATCTTCCCAAATAAGATGGAAGTCAGATATTGGCCAGCAAAAGTGAAACGGTGACAACGGTGCACTGCAGGTACATTCCATGTGCAAGAAGGCTTTATTTCACTCTCCTTCCAATGGCTGGTAAATGGGCAAGAGTGCTCACTCACATTTTTGTATCTCCTTTCCCATGTGCATGAGTGTGCCCTTGACAAGGGAGCACTGAGTTCAAGGGACACCTTGGAGGAGGAGGAAACCACACTCATTGCCATAGGCTTGGAAGGAGGGGGTGTAGTAAAAGGACAAGAAAGCATCTCTTAGAAGAGAGGAGGAAAAGGAAAAAAAAAAAAAGGAGAGCATAATGGTGGGCAGAATGTGGTGGGATGGTAAAAGGAAAAACAAAAGAAGAGAAGGCTTGGTGGAAGACAAAAAGCAAATATTTTTGTGGCCTGATTTCACCAGGTATCTGTGCTGTCCTACTTTCCTAGCTTCTCTGATGTGCTTTTATGGACTGTGTTTTGCTTTATCAGGTTAATGATGTCGACATGGACAAAAGAATAAAGAGATCCTGGTCCAAAACCAAGATATAGAAGGATTGGGAATCTTATCATCACATAATAGCACATATTTGGGAAGATAATAGCAAACAATTCTTGAACTTGAGGACACAGCTTCCTAATAACACTGGCATTAGCAGTGAGCTTTAATGAAACTAAAAATGAGTTTCAAAAAAAGAATCAAAGAATTAAAATGTGTTAAAGCCATTTATAAGAGGAGCAAGTCATTAATTGATCTGAAAATTATATTTGCTTCTTTGTAGGCAATTTTACATTATTCCTCCAACTAAATCATGCTATCTTTGAAGCCACTGCATTCTTCCCTATGTTATTTTGGCAGTTAGTACATTTATATGTTTTAAATAATAATTTAATCTATGTAGCACCTCTCTATTTCTTGCTAGGCAGAATGGCAGGAGAAGTAATTACCATTATCTCTAATTTGGGGATCAGAACATTTTAGGCACACAATGGCTACATCCCTATTCCATGGTAAGCTGCTTTCAGAGCCTGAGAGTTTCAGAACAAATGGCACCAGGGAAACCTAGACAAAGAGCTTTTTGTCCCCGTGTTGCATCCTCCTCTTTCTTCAGGTGTAGTAAGATTTTTGTATGTGGGCCTGCAGACTTGTCTCAGAAAACCGAGAATAATTCACTGCTGTCTAGCCTTCCCTAGGGATCCAAGTGTTGTTTCCATGAACTGCCAGAATATGAGGTCAACCTGCCACCTACTGGCAAAAAGGGGAGGAGAGGTGAGCAGCTGAGTGGACCATGGTTGGTGCAAAAAGATGTTTACAAGTAGGCCTGCAAGGTAAGCTCAGGGGTTAGGAGAGAGATTTCTGGGGCCAGACTTCCTGCACCCAAATGCCAGTTTTCTGGTTGGTAGCATAGTGCCTAAGGCACTTGACTGCTAATTGGAAGGCTGGCTGTTCAAACCCGCCAGCCACTCCTCAGAAGGAAGGTTGAGCAATCTACTTCTGTAGTGATACTGCCTCGGCAACCCAAGGAGGGGTCACTCTGAGTCAGGCCCGACTTGATGGCACATAACAGCAACAACAACATCCATAACCTTGGGCAAATTACTTAATCTCTCTGTGCTTCAGTTACTTAAATTCTGCCTCAGTTTCCCTATCTCTAAAGCAGATACACACTCATGGAATTGTTGGCAGATTAAATGCTTAGACCAGTGGTGGGCACATAGCAAGCCCTGCCAGAGCAGGGGCTGCCCTGGTGATGTCCTACAGGGCCACCAGCACAGGATGGACTCTTGTTAATGCCAGACAGGAAGGAGCAGGTGAAAGTGACATATAGAGAGGGCATATCACTCCCTTGGCAGGTTTGGCTGGTCAGTTGGGGCATACAAGAGAGACAGCTGTCAAATGTGCTAAAATGCTCACCTAACATCTACATTTATAGAAGGACCACTCACAAAAGGGTCAATAACAAGACTTGGGAAAGCAAGGGATGGATCCTTCAGCATAGTCTGGAATATACAGTCCAAGGAAGATACAAATTGAGAGAACTATTACCATCTTCTGGATTGTTTCCTTTTAACAGGGTGATGGAAAAGATGGAAAGAGAAAATTACCAGAACTGCTTTCTCCGGGAAAGGAGATGGAAACTTTTCCCATGTATTTCTGTTGCTCAAAATACTCTAGTATGATACAGAATTACTGTGAATGGGGGAATATTGGGCACAGTTTTCTTTCCAACATATTATCTACTGAAATGTACTAAGTTGATGTGTTTGATCTTGGAAATTGATGTTTAAAAAATTTAAACCCCTAAATCCATACTTAATTTTACTTGATACATTTGTTGTTTGACTATAAAAATGTCTATTTCTTTGCTAATAGTGGAAACGAAATTGAATGACGAAGAACAAGTGAAAAATCAAGTAAACCCAGGTAATTGTTCTGGGGTAGGGGTGTGGGCCAGGCTTTCTAAGGCTCAGAGCATGCACGGTCTCTACAAAGGAGTTTCACAGACTGACACAGTGACATTTCCTCACACACAGAGTTAAAGGATGGTGCAAAAGAACTTCTTCTCTCGGAAGGGGTTTTCTGACACAGGCACTGGGATGATGAGGGGGTCTTCCCGCATGTGGGCTTCGCAGTATGCCAGCAAGTCTGCTGCTGCCTGGGAGACCTGTGAGGGGAGAAGAGCACAGGAATCAGGGGGAGTGGTCTGATCAGAATGTGTCCCTGCGGACAGTGGAGAAGCCCAGAGTACAGGCCGTATGTGTATGGGGCTAATGTCAAGGCTGTGCCCAGCCTGGCGGAAGGGCCCATGCAGACATGGGGAGATAGGTTTGAAAGTAGCCTCTGAGTTAGGAGATGCTGCTCTAGAATGACGAAGGTCAGCATCCAGAGGACAAGGGGAAGCCTGCAAGTTCCAGATGTCCTTGTGTGACTGTCAACTGAGCAATGAGTAGAGGGTCCAGGCCAGAAGCCTCACAGGTACTCTGCTAAACCATTTGTAAAAGGTGAAAAGCACAGTGCCCCTGGCCATGTGAGTGTGATTTATTGCTGGTGTCACTGAAATCCACTTTCATATTCAACATAAAACCCAGTTGCCATAGATTCTGACACATGGCTACCCCATGTGTGTCAGAGTAGATCTGTGCTCCATACGGTTTTCTTTTTACTTTTAAATAGTATTTTATTGTATTTAAGGGGAAAGTTTACACAGCAGATTAGGTGCCCATTTAATGTCTACACAAATTATTCAGTGATATTGGTTATATTTTCTATAATATATTATCTTTCTTATTCATTCTGTTTTGGTTGTACCATCTTTAGTATTCTAGTTTCCCTGCCTCCTTAACCTTCTCATCTTTGCTTTAGAGTAACTTTTGGCCATTTGGTCTCATAGAAATGGGATTTAAAAATTTTTTTTATTGTGATTTGGGTGAAAGTTTACACAGCAAATTCATTTTCCATAGAGCAGTTCCTACACACTTTGTCTCATGATATTGACTGTAATTCCCCAAAATGTAATGGTTCTCTTTCCACTTCCTCTCCATAGTTATCTCTTCCCTGTGTCCTTCCCTGCGATGCACTCCTACCCCCTCCCTCATCCCGAGTTATCTCCCTGTGCAAACATTGCCCTTCTGCTCTATTGCTCCAAAGAGTGTATCTACCTGATGTAAATGTTCAGCCCATATGCCTGTCTATTGTTTGGCTGGAAGGCACAGGAGTGAGTTCAGTTCCAGACCTGAAGGGTAACTAGGGGCCATAGTCTCAGGGGTCTCACCAGGCTTATCAGACCAGCAAACTTGTTTGTTTCTTTGTTTGTTTTTTAATGATTTTGAGTTTTGTTCCACATTGTTCTCCCACACTATCCAGCATCTCCTGCACTGATCCCCCTCTGAGTGGTTGACAGGGGCAGCCAGGCACTACTAGTTCTTCTGGTCTCATGGTCTTATAGGCTGAGGATTGCAATGGTCTACTAGTCCCTTGGACTAATTGTTTCTGTGTGTCTTTGCGTTTCTTCATTATTCTTTGCTCTGGATGAGGAGAGACCCACAGTCGCATTTAGATGGCCACTTAAAGCTTTTAAGACTCCCATTGCTATTCACCAAAGTAGGATGTAGAACAATGTTTTTGTGTAGTATGTTATGCCAATTGAGCTTGATGTCCCCTGCAACCATGGTCCCAAGCCAACAAGTCCAACCACTTGCTCCCTCAGGGTAGCTGGCTGCGGCCAAGAAGCCACCACAGGCTTGCCCCTTGTAAGCTCTACTATAAACCCAGACATTCTTATAGCACCTACAAATACACATTTAGAAACATCATTTGCCAATCCTATATACGGTCATGGGTACACTCCCTCCACCTACACAAACCTGATCATGGTTTTTTTAAAGGAGCTCGTTACTGACGGGTGATATTCTTTATTTTATGAGCCAATCTGTTATTTACTAAGAGGTGACCTTAAGGGATAATTTTGGTTTAAAGAGTACCTCAGGGTAATAGTTTTGGAGAGTCCTCTAGTCTCAACCAGTCCAGGAAGTCTGAACTTTTTAAGAATTTGAGTTCTGTTCTACATTTTTCTCCTATTCTATCAGGATCCATCTATTGTGGCCTTGATAAGAATGGTCGGTAGTGGTAGCTGGGAACTATCTTCCAGTCTTACTTAGGGTAGATGAAGCCATCCTTCACGTAGACTATTAGTTCTATAGACTACTTCTCTGAGCCTTTGATTTCCTTGTTTCTCTTTTATTCTGGATGTGTAGAGACTCCATCAAGTTTCCAATGGCTGATTTTTCAGAAGTAGACTGCCAGGCCTTTCTTCTGAGGTCCCTCTGGATGGACTTGAAACTCCAACCTTTTGGTTAACAGCTAAGCATGTTAACTTTTTGCTCAACTGAGGGACTCCTTATGAGAAACACAGAGAGACATTTTGCCCTCCTCAAAAGGACATACAAGCACACGTTTCAACACTTAGCTTGAAATCACCATCCCCCTGTGGAGAGATTTGCTCCTGAACAGAAAGTCTTTTCCTGCATTTTCCTCCCAGGCTTATCTCAAGGCTGCTGATATAGAGCTATTTTGTGTCAAACTGCCCCTACCCCAGGAGTTCCAGAAGAAAGGCTCCAATGAGCATCACTAAGAAGATGAGGTTACAGCTCCTTTCATTGCGCACTGTGTCTTTAACTCATCCTGCCAGTTAGACTGTTCTGCCTATAAGTGCTTATTAGAGGCTTACAGGCAGGGGTAAGTATGTAGCAGTCAACTGAAATCCTTTCAGTACATTTCAGTGTTTAAACCTTCTCCAGAATGATTAAAAAAAACCTATGAAAACAAACAAAAAATAAATATTTTAATGCTTCAAGCATTCAAGCCACACACATCTCCTGGATTTTTTTTTTTTTTT